TGTGTCCCGGGAGCACTGTCCACAAAGAACGGCCCGTGTGCTGCCCAAACTGCTGGTGTGTGCGCGGTGCTGAGGTGGAGGCGCAGGTCTCTTCGATCTGTGTGCACTGGCAAGGGCGTGCAAACCTCACCGCTGGCGGAGTGTCTTTGGACGAAAGGCTCCTCTTCACAGCCGCGGGCTCAGGGAAGACTTCTGCGCATCCCCACGCAGCTTTGCTACTAGCCTGCACTCCGCGATGAATGAGTAGCGGGCCTGACCCAGCTGCGGGAGGGTGGGCACTTCGAGGACAAGAATCACTGAACCGAGACGATCTCCTGGAGAAGGTGGAGTTGGCACAAAGACAAGCAATGTCCCTGCAGTCTCCTGAGCAGGGTGGAGGATAACTGCCTCGAACTGGTACTGGGGCGGCTCTAGATGTTCCCGGGCAAAAACAGCCAGACCGTGAAGAAAGGAAGAGAAGAGATGAAAGCTGAGGTCGGCTGGAGCCCTCTTTCCGGACTGGAGGGAAGGGGCTGCCCAAGCACTGTGGAGGGTTTACTTACACACTCAGGAGGCTGATGTCAATGTCGGCCTCTGCCTCCCAACCTTTTTTTTTTTTTTTGGTTTTTCTCCGGTACCGGGAACCGAACTCACGACCTTGCACTGCCTCCCAACCTGTTTACAAGCTGGAGCAGCTTGTTTACATGGCCCAGGAGCTCTCCTGTCCTCTGGGCGGACCTTGTCCTAGTCCCACACCTGTGATTGATTTCCAGCTTCAGCTGCGTCCTACAGATAACGGTACATAATAAAATTCAAAAGCACTTAATATAGTTTTGAGGTACTCTGAGTATAATATTCCTGGATTGTTTGGAAAATGTATTTATCTCCATTTTAGTTATTTGTGCACCTGATTCTGTAAGGTGTGATTGAAAAAATGATGCATATTTATAATTTTTAAAACTTCATTACAGTAAGAAACACATGGGCCTTAATACTTCTCAGAATACCTCTTCTGGACTCCAACACACTTGTCCCACCCTTCCTGCCGCTCTCTGCAGCAGTCTGGATGCCCTCTTTTGTGTCTCATTGTGCCGTCCTGGTGGCCTCGATATCCTGCATCCGTTCAAAATGTTTGCCTCTTGTGGTCATCTTGACTTTGGGAAGAGCCAGCAGCCATGCAGTTCTGATCTTGTGAATAAGAGGGGCTAGGACATGTGTAATGATTTTAGCAGCCTGTCCTTCCATTGCATGGGACTTGGCAGTAGTATTTGCTGTGTGTTGTGGTGGTGGTAGTGGTGATGGTGGTGGTGGTTGCTGCTCTTTTTTAGTTATTCTGTTTTGCTTTGTTTTTGGCTTTTTGAGACAGAGTCTCATTATGTAGTTCAGGCTGTCCTTCAATTTGAGGCAGTCCTCCTGCCTCATCTTCCAGAGTGCTGGGATTATAGGTGTGCCCCACCACGCCTGACTCACTGTTTTTGATCATGTTTTAGATGGGTGAGATTTCTGTCTGGTATCACTCTTGAAAAGATTTCCATTCACAAAAGCTCATCATCATTTTTCCTATAGAAAGCACCATTTTCTTTCACAAAACTCCAATATTAATACGTACATTGGGGTTTCTTCTTCCTTTCCTCTTATCTGGAAATAATAATGAATGGAGGAAAGTGAGTTATATGCACAGCTGCAGGGCACTGCTGAAAGGCGGAGTTTGGGCAATGTGCTAATCATGTTTGAGCGTCCTTATCAATCCAGCAGGTTCACTGAGATTTAAGAACAAACTGTGAAAGCCTTTTGTTGTCCTGCTGCAGAAATTTTCCTTTCTATAGAAAGATGAGCTTTTTCATAAAGGCTTAACCAGAGGCAATGCTCAATATTGTCTCTAAAGTGCCAGCAATATATCTTTGAAGCTCTTGAATGATGTTAGTATCCTGGCTGAGTACAGGAGAAAAACTAATCTATAAAAGTAAGAATAATGCAATTTTAAAGGAAACTTTCCTATGCCAGAGGATTGCACCCTGCATGCTGATAAAGGACTGCAGAAACAAAGAGTGCTCAGAAAGGGGAAATATAAATGCCTGAGTGTCTCTGTGTCTGAGATCTGTGTCTTCACGTGTTGCTGATATGTTTGATCAAGGACTTGCTGAGATCTGCATCCAATCATCAAAAGCCAGCAGTGTGATTTTTAAACTAGCAATTTTCCTCTGTGCCATTCTGCCAACATTATGATTCCTTAGTTTTCCTTCCCACTCTTTTTCAAGATAAATCCACACCTTGCTGGAGAGGTACATGCATCCTTTCCATATTGTATTGTGCTCCTGGGGCTCTTTACCATAAAAAGTGTCTCCTTAAATGTCAAGCTTCTGTTCTCTAGTTCTGTCCTTTTGCTCCTTCCTGCACTTTCAGCACAGCTACCCAGGTTGCTACTGCATCATTGCCTGCCTCCCTGAACTTCCTACCGGCAAGCAGATCACACCTGTCATGTGTGCTTTCTCCTCTGCACATTCAAATGCCTGTTGAACTATGTTGGCTGCTCCATGGCACTTGTCAGAAGCCAGTGGTGTTCTCCTCCTGGGTCATGAGAGACAGATACACATGTGTTCATTTGCTAGTGACTCCCCCAGAGCTATGTCAGGTAAATTACCTAAAAAACAGGTCAGTGTACACCTGATTGGAACTAGGGTTGCTGTGAAATGCTGAAATTATCACATTAAACTGTGAACTAAAATTACACACCTGTGTTTCCCCTCAGGGGTCGAACTGCATGCTCCATGTGTGTGAAACACCTGGATCCAGGAATAATGGTGCTCTGCCACACAGACAACCACTTCCCCTCTCCTTTTCTCTTTCTTTCATGTGTTTTATGGACAATCTTCATCAAGTCTTGATGCTTATTGTGTGTTATTGAGATTTTAAATTAAACATTTTTACTAAACATTTTTTGAGATTTTTACTGAACAAATAGTTGATGAAGGCTGAGTTCTAGCTGTGGCTGTAGACAAAGTCTGTAGATGAGAAGGCAATGTGTTCAAGAAGCCTGTTTCTGCAGGTAAAGCAGAAAATAATGAAGTGGACACAAAGGAAACAAGCAGAGGTCCTAGCAAGGTAGACTGAAAGCACAGGATACTGACTGTGAGGGTAATTCTTATGGGTAGATTAAAGGCAAGATCTTACGAGTGGAGAGTGAGCCCCAAGCGGACCCTGAGCAGGAGGCTCTGAAAAGTCTGAGTGGGAGAAGGGTTGAGTGTGCTCGAGGGAGACAGGGGGCTGGAGGCTGAGGTTCAGGAGCGCGGTGGGAGATGGAGGAGGAGGAGGTGGATTCAGGTCTCTCGGGCAAGCAGGGCTTTCTCTTGTGAGCAACCATGAAGATTCAAAGGGACCTCTACAAGTAACTCACTGGTGGGTGATAAAAGTGTGGGCAAGAATCTTGTGGCATGGACTTTCCAAAGACGTATTTTAGAGGTATACCAAAACCGCCTACTCAGAGCTGCTATGCTGGTGTATTTAACTCTGGATATTCCAAATAGCACAAAGGATGTTCCTTCTGAAAGTCTAAAATATTACATTAAAACAAAGACTATTCAATCCTTAAAATTTTTTGATATTATAGTTATTAGCTGTTTAACAATAGGGGCAAATGGACAAAGATGCTTTTATAGTAGGTATTTCAGCAGGTGCATAAGAAGTGTAGTTTTCTGTATTGTGGTAGATTTCAAATACTGCATCAGGAAAGAAATGATGCTGCCCATATACACAAATACATTCCTGTTTTAGATCTGCCCTATCTTCAGGGAAGGAGGCTGTACTATCTGGCCTGCTAGCTTCACACCCAAAGTCGCAGAAATCCATGCAACACAGGGTTGGAGAATCAGTGTCACTGAGGAAATCGCTTCAAACTTTAGTGGACGAGGTGAAGAGGCACCGGCTACAGGGCCCTAGGAAATGGGTGAAGGTGGAGTCTGAGGCCACAAAATTGCCTCACACTTGGCCTCTCCAAGGAGAGTTCAGTCCCTCGCTTAGTTACTTTTTCTTGTTGCTAAGATAAAATACCCAACACCAAAGTTAGAGGAGGAAAGGTTAATTCAGCTCACAGTTTGTAGAGGTTTCAGCTCATAGCTGACCCACTCCAAGATGGGGTGGCATGGTAGAGGAGAAACAGTCCATGGCAGGCAGCGGTAACAAAGCCGTGAAGTAGCAAGCAGCAAGAGATGACAGCAGCCCTTTTCTTGTTCTTTGTATTCTATCCAGGCTACAAGCCTTCAGGGCAGGTAAGACTCACACCTAGGGTGGACCTTCCCATTACCATATTCAAAACTATGCCCAGCCAATCAGTGGACTGACTTAGTCATCACACGTACTTACAGCATCACACACTCTGGATCCCGCACCTCTGAAAAGCCTCACCTGTGACCTCACGAGGCCTTGAGTGTCACCTAGACACAAGTCGTAACAGCCCCGCTTCATATGTGAATCTGATCACTTGCATTACTAAAAATCAGAAACTTGGATATTGAGTTTAAACTTTTGATAGTCACTGAAAATACCATACATCTAGACTAATTAAAAACATGAAAAGATATGTATCGTCTGTTTGGACTTGTGACAGTTCTGCTTGTAGGGATTGTTTTTAACCTGGCATCACTGTGCACAGGCTACCTTAAGACTCATCTCACATTCAAGTGAGACCCTAGAAGCACTCGTTCAGCTCAGCGACCCCAGGAAAGACACAGGTTGCATATGTGGGGGCACAGCCAGAGACATGGGCCCCGTTCATGAGGAGGAAGCTGCGTGCTTGCCAATGGCCTGAGTCTTCACCACCTTTTGGAGAGTCCAGCTCACTGCTCAACAGCAAGGTATGAGGAGCAAGACTGGGCCCCTAGCTGTGCACACTGACTGCCCACGAGATGAACCAGGAAGCTTTATGACACGCCCTTCTTGGCTTGGGGCTTCTTCAGGGAAACCAGAATAGGTGGGGTGGGAATCAAGCCTCCGTGTTCTAACGTTTCCTAGGAGATCCTACTGCAGAGGTGCTTGAGAGTGTAATCTGGGCCAAAGGCTGCCCGAATCGCTCAGCCACTGTCCAAATCACGCTGGTTAGTGAGACCCATGCTAACCTGGACCGGAGTGGACGGGGATCATGTGACAGTAGGAGTCACCCTGACAGCTTTGTGTTGCTTTGAAGCAAACTGTCAAGAAGATAATGAATATCTTCAGGGCCTAGAAGTTGAGAGTGTGCAAGCTCAACTTTAGTCCTTTTTAATTAAATTCTTTCCCGTCACCGTTTCATTCCACATGCTGATGTCTCCCCACATCTTCCCCCAGGTAGGACATTTGTTTCTCTGATTCAGATCATTTCCTAGCTCACCTGTGTGGATTTCCTCACTCCACAATGCTAGGTACTGCTTTTGTATCTTTACCAAAACCCTAATTCTGCCGGGTCGGCTGTTTCCTGAGTGGTCTCACTCTTGTGTGGGAATCCACATGAGTGTGACCCTCCTTGCCCTGCTGTAAGGCTTTCTGTCCTCTGTTTTGCTACAAAGAATAACTGAATGATACGTTGATTCACTTGCTCACTATATTTCTATTGAACACAGTACAGCATCATCATTTCCACTGAATATTGCTCGAAATTTTTAATTTAGTATTTTCTTTACCATCAGATTGCCTGCTAAGAAGGGGATGTAATTCATGGAAGTTTGTACAGTCACTGACAGAACTAAAGCTAGAAGCTAGACAATTTAATCGAAGATAAATGACTTAATTTTAAAATCTGTGGGCAACATAAAAACTTAAATGCTGTAATTTTGTCTGTTTGTCTCTCTTCATTATTCTCATCATTAATTAGACATGTCCCCGGGATGGAGTGTGGGAAAGGTTGATGTGGTGTCCACCACACCAGATTCCTCTTCTCGGTGAGTCTGGAGACAGCATTTCAATGACACTTGCAGTTAAGTGAGGCCACCAGGCTGTTCAGGCCGCTGGGAGAGGAGAAGAGACACACAACATTTCCAGCTTGGCCACAACATCTCCAACGAACCGTTCCCCATCCCTTTGCTCACCTGTGGGGACCCTAGAAGAGGGAGGAGCTGCAAGTAAGAACTTCCAGGTTCTGACTCTTGAAAAGCTGGCCCAGCATCACGAAATATCATTTGGGGACTTCCTGAAAACAAGAAATAAGTTGCTATTGTGCAAAGCCACAGAGATTTGGAGGTTTATTCACTAGAACTGTTCTTTGGAAAAATTCTTTATAAACAACATGTTTTATCCCAAGTGGTGCTGGGCATCTCTAGAACTATCCACTAGCATTTAATGATAAAGAGGCCCCTCCCGACTTTTCCTTCCTGTTATCCTCTGACCTTCTAGTGCTGTCTCTCATCTTTTCTCTGCTCCTCCAGTCTCAGTGAGGCGATTGCTAGGGTAACCCTTGGTGGGTGTATCTTTCCACTGTAGAAATTTTTCAGTGCTCAGGGATTTAAGTCACTCCAGTAATTAAGAATCTCTAGTAGTTCTCTGCAAGATGATTCCATCTAGTTCCAACATTGCTTGCTTTGGGTTTAATGTGGAGCTACCTGTGCGTACCACCCTCTTGTGGACACCCACATTCAGTAAGTGGGTATGCTTCAATTTTATTGTTTTGTTTTTGAGCTTCTTACCTTACTGTGCTATTGTTTATTTGCTTTCATATCCTTTCATTAAAGTGGGTGCTGAAATAATAATGCTGTGTCATTTTGAGTGCTGGACAGATAATTGCTTGAGCCTCGGGATTGGAGCTGTACCTCTCAAAGTGGCACGGGTATCACAGACTGAGGGCACTGTGGCTCATTGAGCCCAGGGGCCCTGCAGGGATTTGCTGGGGCCTTTATTATTGAACAGTGGAGAAAAATAATATGATAATAAGTGAAAATAAACGAAGAGGAAAACATTCATTCTGAGAGGAAATAATTGATGGAAGAGCAAAACCAAAACACGGTTTTAGAGGCTTGGCTAATTCAGCATTCCCTTCTAAGGAGCATGAAGTTTCCCTGCTGTGTCCCAGCCCTGCACAGAGCAGCCTCTGCTGTTCAAGCAGAGCACACAGCAGTGCCACCCACCTGCCTTCCTTCCCGTGGTGTCCAGTGGTGCTTGTGCAGAGAAAATCTCTCTGAAGCACAAGGAGGGTGCATCAGGTCAGAAAGATGCATCATGCTGCTCCTCCCTGGGCTCAAGTTGTCTGAGTTACTGGCTCATTAGAGCCAACTTCTGTTTCCACTTCCCAGGCCAGTGGTCTCGGTGCTGGAAGCTCAGTGCTTCACTTCAGTTCACTTCTGTGGACACTGGGAGAGTGCTCACTGAGTCAGGGGGCTGGGAGGGTCAGGCATGCACTCTGTCCCTGTGAGCTCATGGTTTGGGGGGCTGCAAATCCAAGGTTATAGGCGGCTTTGTGAAGCAATGTAGCTGAGGGGATGCAGCCTGGCTTGAGGAGGCAGAGCTGACCTCTTGCACTGGAGAGGAGCCAGACAAGGGCAGCGGCATCCAGAGGCCACAGGCGAAGTGTTTTGGCAAACACAGGGCTCATTTTGGTGTTGACACTCTTCTGTTTTGCAGGGACAGTAAATACAAAGTCACACCTACAGTACAAATCTGAAGAATGCATTCACAGGTTTCACTTTTGGTTTTTATTGTGCAGTAACTGTGTACTCAGAAAGAGTATGTGGTACGAAGTCCTATGCATGCATCACCCGGGATCCAGGGCAGAAGTCTTTTATGGCTAGATCACATGGACAAAACGCGGCCATTCACGCTGGGAAACCTCTGTCCCCTAGAATGTGGATCTTATTCAGTTTCACCCTTTAATTAACCTGCACTCATTTGCGTGTGTATTTGTGTGTGTGTGTGTGTGTGTGTGTGTGTGTAGTGCTTTCACTTTTCAGTCAGGAGAATTATAGCATGGAAAGTATCTGGCACCAATGGAGCAGCAGGACAGGAAACATAATCCTTCCAACAGTGCAGAAGAACAGTGAGAACCAGAAGAGATGATAGCACCGTGCTGTCTACAGGGGAGAATTTATTAAGAGTAGGATGAATGGATGGGTGCGTGATGGATGCAGACTGATTGTGTGGTGCTGGGACTGAATCCAGGGCTCCTGCTACACCACTGAGCCAATGTTTATATTTTCAGACAGATTTTTTTCTAATGTAAAAAAATGCTGTTTCTTTCAATATGCCCATGTGCACTCTGTGATGGAGGTCAGAGGAGTGACACAGAGCCCAGGAAGGGCAAAAGAAGGGCACATAGCAAGGGTCCAGAGTGCCAGGCTAAGCCAACCTCTCTCCTCAAAGGTCAACATTTGCTGGGTGGCCAAACTGGGGTGCAGAGTTTGTGTGTCGTTCTCTGGTGAGGAGTTGGGAGCTTGTTGTCAAAGCATTTTCTAGAAGTCTGTGATCTCAGTTGTCATCTGGTAGGGATGGAGTTGAATTCCCTTTCCATTCCATCACTCTCCAAAATAAAAAAAACAAAAGTCATTTTATGAGCTCCTATGTCCCTGTTTACTATTGCGCATTTCTCTGTTCGGCATTTGGAATGACGGCTGCCCCAGGGTAAATACTCAGTGTGTGTCCTGAATGTATGACTGGGAAAATCTTAAGCATCAAAGACCTTCTTTTAAGGATTTTAAATAGTTTTTAGAACTTAATACAGTAAAACACATAAGCGAATTGTTAGCAAATCTTTATAGCTTTCAGGTTTTGTTTTCTGATTTTTAGATTTTAAAAATATGCAGTTCAGTCTTCCTTGGACTCAGTATTTTTTCTGTAAATCTAAAAACTGAACTGCTAGAATCAGTGGTGTTAGTCACTAGGAAAATTAGGAACGTGTCTCATGTAACCATATTCCACATTCAGTTCCTCTTAGCTTTATGACTCTTTTCCTGAATTGCACATGTATTTTCAATAAAATTCATTAAAGAATACAATAAATTAAACTTGTCTAAGGATCTAATTGTGTTGATTTATATAAAGTATAAATGTAATAGACAGAAGAAAACAGTTCACATTTAGTGACTGTACGTTTACAAGCATCAGGGCATTGTTGTACCCATTTTACTGAGGAGGAGTTGAAGACCATGAGCGTTTAGAGCCTCTCGGGCTCCCACATCTAGTAAAGGTGTGTCAGGTGTGCACATGTGGGCAGCCCCAGGCTGTGCTCAGCGCCCTCCACACTGTGTCCCCATGTCCACCTTCAAGATGACCAATGCTCTGGCAGGTGTTTTCCTAGCTGGGCTCAGGCAAGGGTTGAACATTTGCTTTGCTACTCTGCTGAGCACAGTCCTGGAATCTCCTCCACCTCTTGCTGTAGATCCAGCTTCACATGGAGACAGCCGCACCCTGGGACAAAGACAGCCCAACCAGCAGGGGCAGCCCTTGCCTCACTCATCTGAAAGAGAACTCCACTCGCTCTTGCATGACCCAAACTGTTCGCTTGGTCTGTTTGCTTATTTGTTCTGAATTATCCCTCTTTTGAAACATGAGACTGTGTCTGGCAAATTAGCTCAGTTATTAATGAGGAGCCTCTTCAACAGACACAAACATTTGCAGGCACCATGTGCTCCCCAGTTACTTGCTGTTCTGGAAGGTAGATTAATGCCGAGAGGCTAGGGGAGAAGAGCTTACACGTCTGCGAGTCTGCGAGGAGACACAGACCTAATTTTCACGATTTGTTCAGATCTGGCTAATTCTCTCCACAGTGTAGCTATGCAAAATGGATCAAGTCAATTACATTTCTGCTACTGAGTCATTAGATAATTTTGTGTGAGCAAGCTATCCTCGAAGATTAAAATTCATAATGCTAGGGTTTTTTTTTTTTTTTTTATACTTAACAAAACAGTTCTGTTTTGGGGTCTTTGTAGCTTTTCTTCCCTTTCTCTTGTGAAATAGTGTTTATACCATATTGACCATGTTCTTATTAATATGTATAATTATTTAATATCTAATTTGTCTTGATATTTTAAGCACTTGAAATGTTCCAGGTCAATAGATAGTTTAAAAGCAAAATTTAGAAAGGTTTTGAGTGAAGAAAACAAAACAAAACAAGTACCATGATGCTTAGACCTTTTCCTCCCTAGAGCGTTAGACCCAAATTCCTTAAGTAGAGAAGTAACCCCTTGCGCTCACAGTAGGGGCTACTGCAACAGCTGATGGACCGGACCAATAGGGTTGGATGGAGTTCTGTATTACAGAACTTCTCACTCTGCTCAACATCTAATGCACTCAATTAACTACTTGCTAACCCTCATGTGACCATGGCTGCACATTTCACGGCCTGAGCTTCGGCAGAACACTGAGCCCTTTACCTCAGTCATCCTCACACGAGCCGACGCGGTCACCAGGGCCGTCTGCAGCCTGGCCCATGCCAGAGCAATCATGTTTGAACTCCGGAGCACAAGGACAGGACCCGCAGGGACCAGGGAGCCCTGTGGTCTCCCCAAGCCTGTGTCTTCCTTCCTGGAACCTGTGACTGCTTTACACAGCAGGGGATTAAACCCTACGTCAGCTGACCTGGAAGTGGATGTTCTGGGTGCCCTCTAGCCCACTGTAGATGGCAGGGTTGTCTCTGTGATAGAGGAGAGAGGAGGCTGGTGTCCTGGAGGTGAGCGTGTGTGTGTGTAACCCTGCACCAGCCTCACCTGGCCCCAAGGGAAGAAAGGGCCACCGCTGGGGATCCTGCACGGGGAGTCGGGGCAGGTCTCCCCAGAGCCTCTGCAGCAGGACTGCTGCCATGTTCTTACCCCAGGGAAACTGCCCTGGGCTTCGAACCTCCCAAACTG